GTGCCACAACTGGACTGTGTGACGATAGTCTTCCACAGATATTATTTTTGCATTATAAATGTATTTTGGTATTTTGTAATATGGAAACTACTATTGTTTAATCTATGTATTTTGTACCTATACAGCTGCATCTTACTTAATTCCAAGTTTGAGCGTGTACTGTGAAGATCAGCCGACCAGCAATGGCGTACTTAGCAGAGAGAAGAGGGCCGATCTTCCATGCCAATCCACATCGGAACATGAGTCGTGTTGCAGTAACTGTAAGTATCTTCTTCAGAGTAGGGGCGGTAAGGTAGCCTAGTGGTTAAAGCGTTAGCTCGACACGCCGAAGACCCATATGGGTACAATGTGTGAAGCCCATTTATGGTGTCACCCGCCATGAGTTTGCTGGAATATTGCTAAAAGCTGACTCACTCGCTGCTTTTGTCTTCGCCCTTCGTGGTCTGAACACTTGAACACTTCTAGGGGGAACATTATGTTTTAATTTGACTTATAAACAATACGTACAAGCTCCACTGGTAATGAAACAAATCGGGGGTACCAGCAAAGCGGTGACAAGTTCAACTAAATGTACATTATGTTGCATTTTAACACTGTACCAGTAGAGAGTAACTCCATTTTAAATGTTTTATATCTCGACAAAAGAAAGAGAAGCCGAAAATTAGAACTGTACAACAGCGTACCCTTTCTTGAACGTGTTTCTCACCTATAAGACAAAATATTATGGATGTCAACTTTTGTTTATTCTATACACAACGTTTGGGGGCTTTTCCTGTCCCCTTCGTCAGGTGAATGGTGACTAACAGGTATACAGGATATATATACTGGTGATGTACATGAAGCCAGAGTGAATTTAAGCATGTATATACAATACACAGGGGATTATGGGATGAAAGAGAATAGATATACAAAAGCAGATATGATGTTGTTACAATTGATGATAGAAGCCAATTGGGTTATAGAAGCCAAACGTTGTGTATAGAATAAACAAGAAATTGACATCCATAATAGTTTGTCTTATACTTGAATACCAACTTCTATATGCCTCTCAAGAACCTAGTGTTTCTCATCACTTGCAATGTAACCCTTGAATTTCCGATTGGGAAATACAGATTGATCGTATTTACAGATAACACGTGTGTAGTGGATGGTGTTTCAAGCACCCTCTGCACCGACTGTGATGCGTCAACGTTCAGTACCGTTAACTGCTCTTGCACTGCATCGGCAACGACGACTACACAAGCTCCTGCTGACTGCCCGTCGTGCTGCGTATGGGATCAAAGTAAGTGTATCATAGTAGGATGATAAACAGACAGAGGGAGAGTATGTTTGGTGGCTTTGGACTTGGGGATAAGTATTTGAAGTTATGGAATATTTACAGCGTCTTTCCATCGCTTCTGAACTTTAAGACCCGTGAAGTTCCGGGTTACAATTGATCTTCATCAACCCACGCTTGTAAAAGGCGACACAGCGGGATCAGATGGTCAGGCCGGTTGACTTGGTTGACACATGTCATCGTATCCCAGTTGTGTAGATCATGATGTTGATCACTGGGTTGTCTGGTCCAAACCTCGATTATTTACAGACCGCCGCCATATAGCTGGAATATTGCTGAGTGCGGCGTAAAACTAAACTCACTCACTCTGGACTTGATCACTCTGATGATTTCTGCATATTGAAAAACAAGATGACTGAGCAGACCTACAATATTGGCCTGTATTGCACTGAAATGTAATATATAATACACCTTGATTTGAACAGATATTTTTTCGTGACTAAAATTAAACTGTGCGCATCATAATTATTGGAACTTTCAAGGTTTAATGCAGGTTTTTGCACAGTGGAAATTTGTTTCCATTTTATATTAAGAACGAACGCTACATATTAGGGGTTGTTAATCATGGATTTGTTATGTCAAGAGTCTCACAAGAGGGGCAATATTTGGTAGCAAGAACATACGGGTGAGACGATTCGCTATGAGTTGATTATCCCAGAAGTCATCCCAGTAACCTGTTGCGGGTTCGAATACCACAGATACCTTGACTAAGTCTCCTGGTTTGAGGGGGCGGTGGGGTAGCCTAGTGGTTAAGTTGTTCGCCCGTTACGCGAAGATCCGGGTTCAATTCCCACATGCGTACAATGTGTGAAGCCCATTTTGGTGTCCCCCGCTGTGATATTACTACAATATATTGCTAAATGGTTACAAATGGGCAAAAAGTAGCATTTTTTCACTCACCGACTCATTAAAATCGTAAATAGGAATAAGTGTGTATGCAAGAAATATTCACGACATTCTATATTATTTCAGGTGGCGCCTTGTTTCTGTTTTCTGTAACTGGTGATGTTCGTTACGGCGCATGTCAGGATCTCTTTGCCTCTACATGCGACTGCAGCAATCCCGATGCACCTGTTACATCAATGACAACCTCTCAGACGACTTCGGCGACAACAACGACAACTACCACACCACTCCCAAAGATATGCAAAAATGACGAAGAGGCCGATATATGCTGCAAAAGAGGTAATGCGACTCTTGTACCCAATTTAAAATGTTGTCATAAAATACATATCGTTTACGCAGCAGTGTTGCTTACATGACCCGGAGATGACGTTGAACATAGATATGGAGGAACAAACACACACACACACACACACACACACACACACACACACACACACACACACACACCGTGAAGGTCCGGGTTAGAATTGATCTTCAGTAACCCATGCTTGTCATAAGAGGCTTGAAAGGTAGTCAGGCTCGCTGACTTGGTTGACACATGTCATCGTATCCCAATTGTGTAGATCGACGCTCATGGTGTTGGTCACTGGATTGTCTGGTTCAGATTCGATTATTTACAGACCGCCGCCATATAGCTGGAATATCGCTGTGTGCAGCGTTAAACAACAAACAAACAAACAAGCATATGTTATACATATATGTCACTAACTTGAATGTCAGTAAGCAAAACGGAATTCCGTTGTCATCATGGACATAACCAATCAAGCGTCACTAGGATACAGGTGGAAATGTATTCTGATGAAAAAGAGGTCCAAAATAACCGTTCATACATATGGAAATAGACGGATGTAGCCCTGTTAATGTTATTTCCGGTTCACAAATAACGTAGATGTCCACGATTTGCATGATTGGACGCCGCTACACGTTGTGACCCGTGAAGATTCGGTGTAGAATTGGTCTTCAGCAACCCATGCTTGTCGTTTGAGGCGACGAAAGGGCTCGCTGAATTGGTTGACACATGACATCGTATCCCATCGTATCGATGCTCATGTCAATCACTGGATTGTCTGTTACAGACACGATTATGTCACATAGTTGAAATATTGCTGTGTGCTTCAAAATGAGAAAGTTTTGGCACTATCCCTGCAATAAGACGCCAGAATAATCTTATCAAGAATATGTTTTGATGCGATTAATTGTATATGTTTGATCTATGTATTTTAGCATCGTATTGTGAGGCGAACCAGGGCGACGCTTCATGCACGGATTGCTTGACCAACGTTCTGCCAAGCACAAACTGTTCTTGCACGTACTACGTACCACCCGAGATGCCACCCATATGTGTCATCTATCCTCGTGAGTCAATTGCAATATTTTGTCGAATGGATCTTTAAATACCTGTAATAAATTTATATATTCGTTGATCATTTTATCATAACGTTATGAAAGTTAATATATTTTCTTTAAACACATTTATTAAGTAAATACCTTTATAATTGCACATCATAAATGTCTGATAGTTGATATCACATGACGATAGTGAGGCCAGGGTAAGTTAGGTTTTAATTAGTGATCTATTAAATGGAAATGTTTTGACAGTAAAATACACATTAAAGAACCTGACGTAGATCCATACATGTGATAGTCATATACTCATGTTGATAATTATTGTCCCCCCTATGGTTTTGTAGTTTTCTTTATAGAAAAACGGGTGCATACGAATATTTGCATAGCGAAAGTGTCAACAAAGCTGACCAACCCGTGAGGATCCGGGTTCAAATCCTGGTCTTCAGCCACCCATGTTTGTCGTAAGAGGCGACTAACGGGATCAGGTGGTCAGACTCGCTGACTTGGTTGACACATGTCATCGTATCCCAATTGCGTAGATCGATGCTCATGCTGTTGATCACAGAATTGTCTGGTCCAGATTCGATTATTCACAGATCGCCGCCATATAGCTGGAATATTGATGAGTGCAGTTTCAAACGTCAAAAGTGGTAAATGGGAATCAAATGAGCAGACAAAATTCGATCACCCAATGAAGCGTTTAGGTCGTCCCAAAAGGACGATAATTCGTGATGATCATGTATTTGGCAGTGTTAAGTGATGCTCTGGTCAGAGATAGGAATCAGATGAACGTGTTGCACGTCAATCGCCTTAACGGCAAAATACCTTGACAGATTATCTCCCTTGCCGAGGACCAGAGTGACGCATCACGATACTAAACCCTTTGATGTACATTGGAACCATCCAATTTCTTATATGTTTTTTTAGAGTCCCGCTCAATAAGCATTGGTAGCACTACGACAATCGTTAGCCCGTTATAAACTATATATCGTTACGACAGTTCGTAACGTTACGAACGCTTTGTGGATCGGGACCTGGACATTTATAGTCTTGTACCCACTAGTCTCTGTATTCTCATCATCTCGTAAGTTAGTCGCAACAACTAAAGGCCATTTCGATGTATCCTGCTTCATTGGCAATACTATTTGTTCACAAAAACATCTTTCTGGATTATGATAGTCGTGTATATCCTTATCCTTAATTGGAGGAAATATTGCTGCTAATGTTGGAATCTATCCTGTCGTGTTACCTCAATACACGTGAGAGTAGGGGGGTGGCAATAATATGGCCATGAGTATATTTGCGTACTCAGATCAGATCGTATCATGAACCAAGTTATCTGTGACTGTTATTTTCTTGCAGAGTACAGATGTATCATACCGATGTGCGCGCCGTGGTGTGTGACGACATCTCAGACCACTAGTACTAGTGCTACTACCACTACGACTTCTGCCATAACATCACTAACAACATCAGCAACGACTTCTGCTACAACGTCAGCGACAACATCAGCAACGACTTCTGCTACAACGTCCGCGACAACATCAGCAACGACTTCTGCTACAACGTCAGCGACAACATCAGCAACGACGTCTGCTACAACGTCAGCGACAACATCAGCGACGTCTGCTACAACGTCAGCGACAACATCAGCAACGACCTCTGCTACAACATCAGCGACAACATCAGCAACGACCTCTGCTACAACGTCAGCGACAACATCAGCAACGACCTCTGCTACAACGTCAGCAACGACCTCTGCTACAACGTCAGCAACGACCTCTGCTACAACGTCAGCGACAACATCAGCAACGACCTCTGCTACAACGTCAGCAACAACATCAGCAACGACCTCTGCTACAACATCAGCAACGACCTCTGCTACAACGTCAGCAACAACATCAGCAACGACCTCTGCTACAACATCAGCAACGACTTCTGCTACAACGTCAGCGACAACATCAGCAACGACCTCTTCTACAACGTCAGCGACAACATCAGCAACGACGTCTGCTACAACGTCAGCGACAACATCAGCAACGACTTCTGCTACAACGTCAATAACAACATCAGCGACAACATCAGCGACTACTTCAGCAACAACAATAGAAAAGATATGCAAAGATACAGAGGAAGCAGCTACTTGTTGTACACGAGGTATGGATCATTTTACCATAAGCGGTTGCTGAAAACGGATGCGGTCAAGTTGATGTCACAGTTGAATGACGCCTTTCGACTTTACATATCTCCTACCCGTACCATCCTCATAGTAATGGAGGGCAGGGGCGGTCAAGTGGTCTCAGATATTGCTATTTGCTGTGTCCCCTAAGAACGTTAGAAACCAACATTAGCAACCCGTGCTTGTCGTAAGGGATCGGGCGGTCAGGCTCGCCGACTTGGTTGACACATGTCTTCGTATCCCAATTGCGTAGATCGATGCTCATGCTGTTGATCACTTAATTATTTACAAAATGCCGGTATATAGCTGGAATATTGCTGAGTGTGGCGTAAATTAAGCAAGGTGATGGTGATGTTTATGGAGAAGCATGTACAATGTGAATTCCCCCCCCCCTAAAATGTATGTACAAAGTGACACCCCCATCCCCATCCCTGCATGCCATATGCAAAATCAATGACGACCCCGAAGTGCATGTGTACAAAAGTGTTGACCTTCCTACCTCCCCAGAACAAAATGGGTGACACCCCTTAAAATCATCATCATCCCCGAGCCATAAATTATGAACGGTCCTTAATGTTGACGTTTGCAATAATCACCACATTTTGAATTGGAAAATGCATGAACAAATGCAAGCATTATATTTTCCAGCGAGTGGAAGACAACTATCTATTTAATGGTTTGAAGTAATTAGTGATATATTTTTGTTGTATATATTATAGCATCGTATTGCGAGGCGAACCAGGGCGACGCTTCATGCACGGACTGCTTGACCAACCTGCTGCCAAGCACAAACTGTTCTTGCACGTACTACGTACCACCCGAGATGCCACCAATATGTGTCATCTATCCTCGTGAGTCAATATTTTGTCGTTTTCAGTCGAAAATTAATTAAATGGGTATGTATAAAGTTTGCTGTTCAAGTAATAGGACATTGTTTTATGAACATCCTTCAAGCGTGACGGTTACATTTTCAGTTGATGTGATCCCAATTTTGTAAAACTGAATTAATGATCTTATATTTTGGTGACAATGATATTTGACATCAAATTGCATCTAAATGATAGTAGAAATATAAATTGTCTCGGTTGATACCTAAATATTTATATCCTTGCGATCCAGTGCTTTAGAAGCGTAGTTTGTAAGTGTTCCAAGGCCTGGAAAGGCGCGTTATAAATACTCTTAATTAATTATTTTCTTGATTACTGCCTAGCTACATTTAAACGTATTTGTTAAAGGAACTACGGGATATATATATAAGATTTAAAGACATTTTTAGTGTTGTTGGGTGTATTCCTCACTTGCTTGATCACGATGTAAGCATCTACACGGAAACGTTGCATAAATTGTAATAAAGACGTTGTGTATCTATTATGATAGAACTATCCTCATTGATGTATTCATAGTTTTTGTAAACAGCTTCGTGGTTGAAAATATGATTATTGCAATATGGTCATGACCACAGCAAATGTCAGTAAATACATTAAGAAACGGTACAGTGGAACTTGTTTGACCTGGTCTTGTCTTGGAACGTGTATTATTTGAAGACAGTTCTGAGTTTTCAAAAACGTATTATTTAGTACTGCAATTATTTTGAGCGGTCACTTTCAAACTGAACTGCCCTATAGTTTTAGTCCAGATTCCATTGCGAAGGAATTGGAGATTTTAATTGATGATTAATTGATAGTTTAAATTGGTGACAGGAAATTAAATGTGTTGTTACTAGAGATTCCTCTTAGTGTTCGCGATGACAGTTTCCTCTGGAAATATTGTTATCATTCAATACTTATTGTACGTGAGCCCAGTTATCGGTGCTTGTCCTTTTATTGCAGAGTACAGGTGTATCATACCGATGTGTGCGCCGTGGTGTGGAACGACATCTGAAATTACGACTGCTACAACAACGTCAGCGACAACGTCAGCAACGACCTCTGCTACAACGTCCGCGACAACATCAGCAACGACTTCTGCTACAACGTCAGCGATAACATCAGCAACGACTTCTGCTACAACGTCAGCGACAACATCAGCAACGACATCTGTTACAACGTCAGCAACAACATCAGCAACGACCTCTGCTACAACGTCAGCGACAACATCAGCAACGACCTCTGCTACATCAGCAACGACATCTGCTACAACGTCATCAGCAACGACCTCTGCTACAACGTCAGCGACAACATCAGCAACGACTTCTGCTACAACGTCAGCGACAACATCAGCAACGACATCTGCTACAACGTCAGCGAACGACATCTGCTACAACATCAGCAACGACCTCTGCTACAACGTCAGCGACAACATCAGCAACGACCTCTGCTACAACGTCAGCAACAACATCAGCAACGACCTCTGCTACAACGTCCGCGACAACATCAGCAACAACCTCTGCTACAACGTCAGCAACGACTTCTGCTACAACGTCAGCGACAACATCAGCAACGACATCTGCTACAACGTCAGCGACAACATCAGCAACGACCTCTGCTACAACGTCAATAACAACATCAGCGACAACATCAGCGACTACTTCAGCAACAACAATAGAAAAGATATGCAAAGATACAGAGGAAGCAGCTACTTGTTGTACACGAGGTATGGATCATTTTACCATAAGCGGTTGCTGAAAACGGATGCGGTCAAGTTGATGTCACAGTTGAATGACGCCTTTCGACTTTACTTATCTCCTACCCGTACCATCCTCATAGTAATGGAGGACAGGGGCGGTCAAGTGGTCTGAGATATTGCAATTTGCTGTGTCCCTTAAGAACGTAAGAAACCTATACAATCCCTCTTCACCCCGAATACGTGTCTTGGTTTGTCTGCACCAGACCTACGCCCGTTGGTTTCAGGGGCGGTGGAACTAAGGTCCATGCAGGTAGCAAAAGTAATGTAAGTCCCCATGGTCCCTGGTATGGTGATCTACCTTCAGTTATTGGCGATTTATATCCCATTTTTATACTGTATTGTTTTTCCCCTATAGTTAAAACGATGTATTTACTATTTTTACATACATATGTGTGATATTCTAGTTGTTTTACTGTCCTTCGTCGGCAGGTTTTCTATAATATACATATATTTCATTTCAATATTATATGTTCTCGTCACGATATGGCTGAAATATTGCCGATGTGACGTTAAATATTAACTCACTCACTCACTCAAGGGCAGTGGGTTAGTCTTGTGGTTCGATTCCCAGGATGTTGTTCCCAGCGGTAATATTGTTGGAATATGTCTAAAAGCGGCGTGAAGCCAGACTCATTCGTTGGTTTCACCACAGTGCCAAACGTCGGACACCTGCATCACGTCGATCTTGTTCAAACAGACACACGTAATTGTAATACTGTTTAAAGCGGCATTTGCCCCAACCTACCCAACTTTAGAGTTGAGGTAAAACACCGTTGTTTAAGTTAAAAGGTTATATTCTACCAGAAAAATGGATAATATTATGTCATTCACGGTATCATCTCGTCAACGTTATAACCTCTCCTGGGGCGGTGGGGAAGCCTAAAAAAGGGTTAAAGCGGTCGCTCGTCACGCCGAAGTCTCCGGTTCGATTCCCGACATGCGCTAAATGTGTGGAGCCCATATCTGGTGACCCCCGCCGTGATATATTGCTGGACTATTGCTAAGAGCTGCGTAAAACCCAACGGAGAAAAAAAATGTTTCATCTTTTTTACTTACAGAACCGTATTGTGTGGCAAACTACCCGGCTGATTCTTCCTGTGCCCCATGCATGGAAGACATCCTCCCCAGCACAAACTGCTCTTGTACATCCTACACACCGCCAACAAACACCGTGCCACCGATATGTTTGCTTCCTGGTAGGTGCTTTTATGTGAAATAGTGATGCAACATTCCATACAAGGGGGCTACCCGCCCAGTGGTTAAAGCGTACGCTCGTCGCGCCGAAGACCTGGGTTCGATTTCCCACATGGGTACAAAGTGTGAAGCCCATTTCTGGTGTCCCCCGCCGTGATAGTGCTGGAATATTGCAAAAAGCGGCATAAAACTAAACTCATTCACTCCATGCATGGAATTAGGAAGTTTAGGTTGTTTGTTTGCTTGCTTGTTTGTTTTTTTGTTTACCCCGGGTTCAGCAATATTCGTGGCGACGGTCTGTAAATAATCGAGTCTGGACTAGACAATCTAGTGATCTACATCATGAGCATCGATCTATACATTTGGGATTCGATGACATGTGCCAACCAAATGAGCGAGCCTAACCACCCGCTCCTGTTGGTCGCCACTTACGACAAGCATGCGTTGCCGAAGGCCATTTCTAACCCAGATCTTCAAGGGAAGACCCGGATTCGTATGATGGATATTTAGCAGGGATTGTTTATGATTTTGGAAAGAGTTTTGTGGTATATTTCAGAGTAAAAACATCAGATATCAAAAGACTGTCAAAGTTTCTCAAATGATACAGTGCGAAGAAAATGGAGAAAATTCAACATGTCCTTGCCTTTCGACGTTACTTTGTATAAATGCATAATGATTTTAAAATTGTGTTAACAAATGAAATATCGTTATTTTATATGTTTTATGGAAAGGGTTTGTCTCTCTGTTTGAGAATACAAAGCCTTGCTTTCCATTCTAACAGGTTTGTGTTCCCTCCCGCTTTGTGTACCATACTGCGCTGCTACGACAACAGAACCACGTGTGTATTTCATTATTGTCTGTATTGTTTTCTCAACCGTTAAAACAGTGAAAGTACAAAACATATTTCCGGACTGACATAAATAGCACATCAAGGACTGCACAAATGCCTATAGCGTACCAGTGAGAATGCATTTTTAGCAGAGAATTCATGACTCTTTCCTGGTTTTAGACTGAATTCAATATAACCATCAGATTTGGATAAGGGCACATTTAAGTTTAGGGGAATTCAGAAAGTTGTAGCAGAATTTTGTGTTCTAAATATGTACGGTGCAGCTGTGTAGCTTATTGTTAAAGGTCGTGTGTCGTGCCAAAAACCGGGTTTGATTCTCAACATGGATAAAATGTGTGAAGCCTTTACATACTCTTTACTTTCCCTTAATTTCCGATGTTTCGTGAGATGTACAGTGGTAAAAGGACACCTATGAAGCTGTGACTTTCATTGTTACTTAAGAACAACACCAACCTGTTTGATTTAAACATATTTATTCAAGAGAATGGATTGGGTACAAGTTATGCCAACTTAGTGAAACCCTCTCCTATTTACAGTGCTTACATGCAAAAGTGAAACAAACTATATGTACAGGGATAGACAGATATATACAAAATTATATATACTATACAATGAATACATGAATTATTTAGATCATACACATTATATCCAATCACTGAACCTTTTGGAATTTGATATATATTTTTGAACTTGTTGGTGGCAGTACTGGAATCCAGCGGCAGTACTGGAATATTAAGAGCTTTTCTGAGATGCCTCGCTAAAAGACCAAAGATGCCGACAGTGCCGATAAATTTATGCATGACGTCACACTGAATTGACATCACTACGCGATTCTCATCTGCCCCCTCGTATTGAAACGTGCTCATGGTAACCTACTTCACGATGCATGTCAGTTGTCATCGCCTCGTACAGTATCCTACAGTAAACTACTCCGTAGCACCCCGTTTCTTGGTTTGCAGTTGCGCCACTCGAATAACATCACTGGTGGATGTATTACCTTTAACTTTATCGACGACACAAAGTCCCAGCTCGACTCACAATTAAACAGCGACACGGACATGTCCACAGTCCCACAATGCATCTGTTTAATGACGCATGACTGGTCATCTTCATCTGGATTTACTGTTCTAAACTTACGTTGGTAGTAGAAATGCATGTTAAATTTGCCCCATATACTTTACGATAATCACCGATGCAATTAAAATACTATAGAGAAGATATTTAACCCGAACGTAAACCGTCTACAAACTGTTTATCGTTTGTTTCCACGGCAACGTGCGTATTAACGTTGGGGGGGCAGACACGTCACTAGAACAGCACGTCAGTTAGCCCTGAACGAGGATTGGTCACCGACACTGTCGCTTATCTTGTTTATTTAAGTGTATTACATTTGGCACCTTAGAAAAGAAATACAGTTCGCTCTGCCCCAATGGATAAGGTAATAAAGTACACTTTTGCCCAAACATCCTCGTACTTTCACTATAATAGTTCAGGGCAAAAGTGTACTTTATTTAAGATATACAGTTTGCTCTACCACCATGTACAGTGTAATAAAGCACACTTTCGCCCTGAACTATTATAGTTAAAGTACGAGGACTCTTGCGTCCGAGTGTTTTAACGTTATAATAGATCAGGGCGGAAGTGTGCTTTATTACACCATACATGGTGGTAGAGCGAACTGTATTTCTTTTCTAAGATGCCAAATTTGATACTTTCTAAGGATAATTACGATTAATTTAAATCAGAAAACAAACGACGGTGTCGGTGACCTAAATTAAGAATCCTCGCACAGAGCTCACTGGCGCGCTGTTCTATTGATGTGTCTGCCCCCCTACGTTAAGACGAACGTTACCAGAAAAAAGAAATGATAACAGTTTGATGACGGTTTACGTTCGGATTAAATATCTTCTCTAAATTATTTTAATTACATCTATGATTAACGTAAACCATATGGGGCAATATGAACGTCGCATTTCTACTACCAACGTAAGTGTAGATCAGTACATCCAGATGAAGCTGAGTAGTCAAGCGACATTCCACAATTGCACTGTGGGAATGTAAACATTGTGTTACCGTGTCGCTGAAAATTTGTGAGTAGAATTGAGACATTTTAACCGTCGGAAAACATATACGTAATTTTGCCACCAGTGATGTTAGCGGCGTGAAGATACTGCAAACCAAGAAAAGGGATGCAACGGAGTAGTTTACTGTAGGAAGCTGTACGAGGCGATGACAACTGACATGCATCGTGACGTCGCTTACATTTTGACGTTATGCAAAAGTGTTCGATTACGAGGGGGCAGACTAGAATGGCGAAGTGACGCCAATACATAGTGACACGTAATGCAAAAAGTGCACATTATCGTCTGATAAAATACTATCGGCGCCTTTGATCTTTCACCGAATCATCTTAGAATAAACTATCCATTGGGGCAGAGCGATCTGTATTTCTTAAACATAAATTGGACATAATATGGGAATATTCAATATACATGAATACGTGTATATGTTCGTTTCTTCTCGAAACACTTCATCCACTACTTCAGCAACGACATCGGCAACTACATCTGCCACAACATCGGCT